AAAAAAAAAAAAATTAGGATAGAAGTCTAAAGCAGGTCCGGAGTTAGCAAAACAACAACAACAAAAAAATCCCTGCTTGGTGTCACCTCAGCACTTAGGAGACTGAAGCAGGAGGATTATGTAAGTTTGAGGCCAGGCTAGATTACAGTGTGAGATCCTATCCCCTAAAAAGAGGGACAAGAAACCAAAACCCAAGACTAGAAGCTGTGAAATATTAACAGATTCTGTCCTTTTTTGTTTGTTTTTTTTCTTTTTTTCATTTTGCCTTTTAAAAAAAGCTGGTTATGCCCCCGGAGGAAAACTCAACTGTTTCTTCTGATCTTGCTCCCCTCAGTACTGCACTTGTTACTTTAGATATATGGCGTTTCCATCACAGATTAGTTCCCTGGAGGACACCTATTCAATGTCCTCCATCTTAATGCAGTTCTGATGCTGTCAACCTGGACCTAATGTCAGATCTCACAGGTTAATGGCTCAGTCCCATGGGATTGCCCCATCTCATCTTTACATGCCAATCTCAAGAGTGAGTTCCCCAAGTTACCTACAACTTAGGACTTAGCTACGAATTGGATGTTCCCACAATCCTTTTCTCACTTTCAACCACTTGCTGTTAAAATAGCTCATAGAATTTAGAAAAGGACCTGGAAAGTTTGTTTACTAGATTTATTGCTTATTTATTTTGAGATAGTGTCTATATAGTCCAGTCTGACCTTGAACTTGTTGTGTATTGAGGATGACCTCTAACTGATCCTCTTGGGAAACAGCCACATGGAGAGACTACATAGAGCCAAATTGGGTATTCCATCTCCTTTCAAAGCCATTCTCCCAGCACCTCCCCATATCAAGACAGAAACTCACAAAGTACTGTTCTCTGGAGCTATTATGGAGGCTTCATTATTAAGCATGGTTGGTCACTGGCCACATCATAACTCCAGTCCCTTTACCATTCCTGATGGTAAGTCAAAGTGAGGTTGAAAGCTCCAGTGTTTTTTCTTCAATTTAGGGCAGTAGTTTGAGCCTAGGGCCTTGTGTTGTATAAAGTGCTATACCACTGAGACAGCATGGAGAGCTCCAGCCAGTCCTTATCCTTAATCTGTTTAGAAGCTACCCTCCTGCCGTCATTTATTCCAATATGCAAAAGATATATTTCCTGGAATGGCAGGCCACGCCTTTAATCATGGCAGAAATTAATGTTTCATATCAGCGTGGGCAATAGCTCTACTCCAGCTTTGGCCGCATTCCAAGATCCTCCCACTAAAACAGAACACACGAATGCACAGACCTTAATACAGTAAATTAGGTGCCAGGTAGTGGTGGCTCATTGCCTTTAATCCCAGCACTCGGGAGGCAAAGGCAGGCAGATCTCTTGAGTTCAAGGCCAGGCTGGTCTACAGAGCAAATTCCAGAACAACCAAGGCTACATAGAGAAATCTTGTCTCAAAAAAACCAAAAGAACAAAAAATGGTGTGGTGGCAAACTCCACATGTGTCTGTCACTCAAGATGCAGAAACAGGGGCTGGAGAGATGGCTCAGAGGTTAAGAGCACTGACTGTTCTTCCAGAGGTCCTGAGTTCAATTCCCGTCAACCACATGGTTGCTCAAACCATCTGTAATGAGATCTGGTGCCCTCTTCTGGCCTGCAGTCATACATGCTGTATACATAATAAATAATAAATCTTAAAAAAAAGATGCAGAAACAGGAAGATCATTGTGAATTCAAGATTCTTGTGGTTTACATAGCAAGTTACAGGCCAGACAAAGCAATGTAGGAAAACCCTGTCTCAAAACAAAACCCAAAACCTAGTAAGTTAAACTCAGACGTAAGAGAGCACACTGAGAGAATCAGTTCATACTATGTATAGTCAGAATAGGCAACTCCATGAAACTGGATTAAGGGTTGACAGTGACATTGGGTGGATGGGTAGGTGAGCTCTTTGAAGTAATAAAGGTATATTGAAATTAATAGTGGTTATGGTTGCACTTTTTTCTTTCTTTCTTGAGACAGGTCTCCTGTAGACCAGGCTGGCATCTAGAGCCCTACATAGCCTGATCCTCTTGCCTTCATTTCCAAAGTACTGAAATGCCAGGCCTGCACCCCAGCGTTGAGTTCTTTGATGTGTGTGTGTTTGAGACATCTCACTGTGGAGCCTAGGCTGGACTTCACCTTTCAGTTCTGCCCTACTCTCCACCAAAGCCGAATTACTGGTTTACAAGGCTGTGCTCGGGTTCACCTGCTTTGTGGATGCACCCAAAACCACCGAATTATACACATTGAAAAGTGCACTTTATATAACTATATGCAAGTTATATGACTAAAACTCGAGGGCTAATCACAATCAGCAGTATTCTCTGTATATCTTTTACGTAGAAAGCAACTGGGTAATCAACCGGCCTCAACTGATCTCGCAGTGAAGCCGGTGATGTCCTTTTCATGCCACTATTTTTTGTACGAGTACCGTGCCTCCAACCTTTCTAGCATTCTGGTTACTTCCCTGAAGAGGAACAATTGCTTCCCGAAAAACTCGACTCCACACCAAGTCACTTAAAGTGTTTACTTTCCAGGAAACAGACAAAACAACGCTCCGTTACCAAGGGAACAGAACGCTCTGCCCTCCCGAGATGGCCGCCAGCGAGGACCGCGGGGCTGTCTCAGGAAGTCGCGTTTCGCATTTCCGGCCCGGCCTCTTCCGGCCTCTAGCGGCGGCTTTGCGGAAGTGCGCGGCGCACGTGTGTTCGCTCGGGGTCTGGTAGCGATGGACGCCTTGGATAAAGTCATGTAAGTGTGTGGGGGACGCGATGGCGTGGGAGGGAGTCTCCCGGGGCTGGGTGTTGCCTCTGCGGTGGCCCTGGTCCCGGCGTTGCGCTCTCCGGACGCGCTTCGGGAAGGAGCTGGCCTCTTCTGCAGCCCGAGTCCCTGCCGCTGCAGCCTTGCAGGCTGGCGGCGAGCGCTGGGGCGGGGGCAGCGGGGGCCAGAGCCGGGGTCGGCTTAGGGCCCCGCCGCTGGTGGGTTCTGAAGCGCGAGAGTGGCGGGGGCCGGAACAGACGGGGCTCAGAGTTTCGCGACTGTGTCCATCAGTTTATCCCGTAACATAGCTGTCCTGACACGCTTGTGTCAGAGAACTGTAGGGAGCAGGGTTTGCCATAACGGGTGCAAAGTTTTCATTTTTCTTTTCCGCCCAAATCTGCGCACTTCTGCCTATCGCTGAGTGATGGCTAACGTTTGTTCAAAAATATTTGAGTTCCCAAATGTTGCTGCATTGGTTGTTACAGGTTTCCTGCCGCTCCCCGCCCCGCTTTTCGAGACAGGGTTTCTTTGTGTAGCCTTGGCTGTCCTGGAACTCGCTCTGTAGATAAACTGGCCTCGAACTCACAGAGATCCACCTGCCGCTACCTCCCGAGTGCTTGGATTAAAGGCGTGTGCTACCACCGCCCGGCTCAGTTTTCTGCTTTTTAAGTAATGTGCAATGTAAACGAAAGTTTGTTTGTAGTCAATAGATTTTGTGCACCCATTGTGCCTCACTAATAAAGCAAGTAAGCTGCAGTTTACATTGATTACAGGTTAGTGAGATTGAAAAAAGACGTGGACTATAGAGTGTATAGCAGTTATTACTGTGTAAACACAGTGCGTGCCTTGATTTGATTCAATGAAAAATGCAACTTGAGCGACCAGTAAATGGCTAACTACGTGGTTTTACACGTGGCATTTCATTGGAGAAGAATTTTTTTAATTCTGTGTGGGAAACTAAAGTGTATGTATATGGTTTTCCTTTTCCCTTCCTCCCTGTCCCAAGACTGGAAGATGGAGGGTTATAGTTAATTAGGAGAGGAGGCATTTTCTTAATAGATGGCAGAAAAGTACCATGTTTACCATAGAGGAGGCAAAGTTGAATTCTTTCTTCTGAACAGAAATGTATAACAACATCCTATTACTGCCCCACCATAAAAACAGTATAATAAATTAGGTGTGGTTTTGTGGGGTTTTTGTTTTGTTTTCTGTAATGGGAGTTGTAGATGGGTTCTTACATTTAGTTCATTTTGTAGCATTGGTCTACACACCGGACCTTGGGCATATTGCTTCTCTAGTCTGAGTTGCCTGATTTGTAAAGAGCTGTAATTACAAGCATAAGTCCCCATGAAGAAACGTAGTAAGTTAAAAATAACTGTTTACTTGGGTCATTTCATTTTTTAAATTTATGTATATACACACACACATATATGTGAATGCTAGCTTTGTATTCCCCGGTTGCATGCAGTGCCCACAGAGGCCAGAAGAGAACATCAGATCCTTTGGAACAAGAATTATAGTCAGTTGTGAGCTTCCATGTGGGTGCTAAGAACCAAACGCAATCCTCAACAAGAGTAGCAGGTGCTCTTAACGTGTAGTTGTGTCATATGAGGAAAATGTGTAAATTGTTATGAATTGTGCTTTTTTGAACAGAAAGCCTAAAACAAAAAGGGCTAAGCGATTCCTTGAGAAGAGAGAACCCAAACTCAGTGAAAACATTAAGAATGCCATGCTGATTAAAGGGGGGAATGCAAATGCAACCGTGACTCAAGTACTCCGAGATGTGGTAGGTATCGTGACTTACTATATTCAATGCTATATTTTTAAACTAAGTGCATCTCTGTGGGTGTCCATGGAGGCCAAAGGCCTTGGATCACCTGTAGCAGGAGTTACAGGTGACTGTGAGCCTCCTGATATGGTGGGAACTCTCTGCAAGAGAAATGCCTCGTTGTCTTTCTAGCCCTGTTAACTTGCTTTAAAAAAAAAAAAGCCATGCATGGTGGCACATGCCTTTAATCCCGGCAGGCAGATTTTCGAGTTCAAGGCCAGCCTGGTCTACAGAGTGAGTCCCAGGACAGCCACAGAGAAACCCTGTCTTAAGAAACCAAAATCTAAAACAACAACAACAACAACAAAAAACCCCAACAAAACACGGGTTCTCACTATGTAGTCCAGGCTGGCTTTGAATATTCTTTTAAAGTGAGGTTGAACTATTTAGGAACTTTTGAGCACACTGAGTTGAGCCAGGTCTGGTAGGATTATGATGTCTTAAGATCCAGTCTTGAAGAGTTGGAGTTGGGAGGGGCAGGGGTAAATAGAAAGGACAGTGAAATTGGAAGCTATTTATCTTATAATGTACTTGTAAGGGTACTTAAAGAATAGTCATCTGAATGAATTTTTATTTATTTGGGTCCTGCCTCCCCTTGGGACAGGGTCTCACGTTGTAGCCCTGGCTGGCCTGGAACTTGCTATGTAGACTGGGCTGACTTCTGCCTTCTGGATGCTGGGATTATAAGCATGTGCCATCCTGCCTCACTCTTTGACAAATTTTTTTTTTTTTTTTTTTTTTTTTTTTTTTTTTTT